AGAAAGAAAGAAAGAAAGAAGGAAAGAAATTAAATAGCCTTATCAATATCTCTTGATAAGTGTCTATGAAGAGCCTCGGTCATCCAGACTTCGAGATCATAGTTGTCTCAAGATATTTTTTTTCTTTAAAAGCAACTGGACTGATTTTTTTTTTGAGGAAGAAAAAGATGTTTCACTTCCCATCCAGGAAGCTTCATCAGTTCTACTGATGGTGGGGGAAGATGGTTGGAAGGACAGGTACTGACAGTTGAGGCTATATGGTGGGGGTTGGATGTATAGCTTCTGACAGGAGGGAGAATGGATGAAATCATGTTTCTGGTTCAGCTGAAAATCCCAAGTAGCCTCAAGAGCTCTCAGAGAGAGTGCTAATGACCAGATGACTGCAAAGAAACACAATCCTTCCATTTACACACACACAGCAATCATCCTGTCAGAACTTATCCTTCCATATCTCCCACCACCAGTTCAACTGATGAAGCTTCCTGGATAGGAAGTGAAATTTTTCTTCTTCTTCAAAAAGAATCAATCCAGCTGCCCTTTCAGGGGGAAAAAACAACCATCTTCGAGACAACTCTCGATAAGGTACAGGAAACAAAACCTTCGTCTAAAGCGTGACTCGTAGTTTCTGCCGCTGAATTGTGAGAATTTTGCTATCTTTATTGACAGCTGCTTTGTGATTCCCTTCTGGAAAAAAAAAAGCCACCTCAATATAAAATTTCTGTGCTGGGACTAGCAGGCCAAAGGGATTTATTTTGTAATAAAGCAGGTTAGTTTGCAAGCTGCCAGCGTACCGACGGATTGTTCAAGGGGTGAAGGTGGCTGGTTGGTTGGCTGGCACCGCACGCCATGCAAACTGCCACTGGTGCCAAGAAACTGCCCATTTCCTTTCCAGATGAATGGCAGCTTCATTCATCAGTGCCAAGCAGGGGAAACTCCAGAAACAAATCTGCTTTTTTTTTTTAATTGGCGGAGCTGGTAACGGCACCTTGTTTCTGAGGGAGTAAGGAAAGGAGGTTTTGAGGAAAGGGAGGCAGGCCGTTCCAGGTTGCCAAAATCCTTTTTTTTTTTTTTTTTAGTATTTATCATTTTTATTTTTGTTATATAAAATACAAAGAAGGAAAAAAAATAGGAAATTAAAGGAGGGAAAGGGAGCAGGGAAAAGAGGGTGTGAGATACAAGGGGGAAAAACAGAAAGAGAAGAAAGAAAGAAAGAAAGAAAGAAAGAAGAAAGAAAGAAAGAAAGA